GCTTTCCCCTGATAATTCCCATCCTCCCACAACTACCAGGATATCTAAATCCTCAGCGATCAAGATATCTCACCGCGATAACATTATGTAATTAATAATACATATATCTTTCCTGAAAACTAACAGTACTTATCTCTTTCCAAAGTTCACTCCGGATATCTCGACCAAATTACCAGCACCAAGAGGCAAGTGGAACAGCAAGTGGACCAAACTACCAGTAGCAAGAGGCAAGCGGAACAGAGGAGTCGTGGAAGACAGTAAAGAGGATAAGGATTGTAAGGTTTGTAAGGTTTTTTTTTTTTTTTTTTTTTTTTTTTTATTATTTTCTACCACAGACGTGGCCACACATTTACAATGCTAACCAGCACATATATGAGGTGGGCCATTCATGCCCGTCCACCAGGAGGCCCAAGACGAGGACCCGAGGAGTGGCATGTCCGAGGGCAGGCTGGAGTGACAGATGGCCCGCAGTGAGTGCCGGAGGGGGTGTTCCTGAGGCAGGTGGGCGGCGGCGGAGGAGGGGGTTCAAGGCCAGGTGGGGCCAGCCCACCCCCCCAACAGCTCCCACACTGAAGCTTCCTATCCACCGTCTTATCCTTAAACATCTTAAACATTCTCCGTGGCATGTCCCCCTAACTCCTGGGGCCAGATTCACGAAGCAGTTACGCAAGGACTTACGAATGTGTACATCTTTTCTCAATCATTGGCGGCTTTGTTTACAATTATTAAACAGTTAATGAGCTCCGAAACAACAGGAGGCTGTTTATAACAATAACAACAGTTGAATGGGAAGTTTCCATGCTTGTAAACTGTTTAATATACATAACCTAAGGCGTCAAAGATTGATTAAAGATGCATACGTTCGTAAATGCTTGCGTAACTGCTTCGTGAATCGGCGCCTGCTCCTGTGCACTCTCTTCACGTATACTTTGAGTTTCTTCCTTCAAGAAGGCTTTACACACACACACACACACACACACATATATATATATATATATATATATATATATATATATATATATATATATATATATATATATATATATATATATATATATATATATATATATATATATATATATATATATATATATATATATATATATATGACAATGTCAGACCACGGAAAACTCAAGGAAATTCCTGTTTCATTTTTCCTCCGTGGTCTGACATTGTCACATTTTTAATCACGTGTTTACTTTCGTGATACACACACACACACACACACACACACACACACATATATATATATATATATATATATATATATATATATATATATATATATATATATATATATATATATATATATATATATATATATATATATATATATATATATATATATATATATATATATCTTAAACAATGAGCGCAGGTTGTTCAACATCCTCCCAGCGAGCATAAGAAATATTGCCGGAACAACCGTGGACATCTTCAAGAGGAAACTAGATAGTTTTCTTCAAGAAGTGCCGGACCAACCGGGCTGTGGTGGGTATGTGGGCCTGCGGGCCGCTCCAAGCAACAACCTGGTGGACCAGACTCTCACAAGTCGAGCCTGGCCTCGGGCCGGGCTCGGGGAGTAGAAGAACTCCCAAAACCCCACCAAGCAGGTATCACGCAATATATTTAGTGACAGCGCGAATGCGTGGTTAATAAGTGAGGCTTACTATGGGTGAGCGGAAAAAGACATATTACTCCAATCTACGGGCTCACCATAGCCCGTGCTACCTGGAACTGTTTGTTCCAGGTGGCGATAAGGATGATAAGACAATTAGTAGTAGAAGTTACATAAACTAATCATCACATGACGTTATACATATTTCATACATCGTTGCGAACAAGCCTGAACGGTCCCCAGGACTATATGCAACTGAAAACTCACACCCCAGAAGTGACTCGAACCCATACTGCCAGGAGCACTCTGATGGCGTACAGGACACCTTAACCGCTCGACCAACACGACCGGACAAAAGAGGATGGTAGCGATGTATACATCGTTATACATATTTCTGTATGTATCTTCTGTATATGTATAACGATGTATACATCGTTATACATATTCCTTATCATCCTCAAATAATACTACTTTTTAAACTATGTGGGTGATAGTACCGACACGTAGTATTGGAGCCCCAATAAGCCACTTTTTGTCATTTTGTACAGTTCGGAAAAAAATAAAGCTAAAACCAGACCAACATATTCCTAGGCTTAGTATAGCACATATATGTACTATACTAAAGGTGGGTAACTCCTCTACTGTTACAGCTGGACGATGGCGATCTTGGCCACTGAACAACACAAGAACAAAGAACCACAGACGATAACACACGACAATTTTTGTTTTTAAATCTTGCCTCGAGGGGCGAGTTTATTGGGCAGCGCCACTCATCTTGTGAGTGGACACACCGCCATAGTGACAGTATTGGGCAGCGCCACTCATCTTGTGAGTGGACACACCGCCATAGTGACAGTATTGGGCAGCGCCACTCATCTTGTGAGTGGACACACCGCCATAGTGACAGTATTGGGCAGCGCCACTTATCTTGTGAGTGGACACACCGCCATAGTGACAGTATTGGGCAGCGCCACTCATCTTGTGAGTGGACACACCGCCATAGTGACAGTATTGGGCAGCGCCACTCATCTTGTGAGTGGACACACCGCCATAGTGACAGTATTGGGCAGCGCCACTCATCTTGTGAGTGGACACACCGCCATAGTGACAGTATTGGGCAGCGCCACTCATCTTGTGAGTGGACACACCGCCATAGTGACAGTATTGGGCAGCGAAGCTCATCCTGTGAGTGGACACGCCGCCATAGTGACAGTATTGGGCAGCGCCACTCATCCTGTGAGTGGACACACCGCCATAGTGACAGTATTGGGCAGCGCCACTCATCTTGTGAGTGGACACACCGCCATAGTGACAGTATTGGGCAGCGCCACTCATCTTGTGAGTGGACACACCGCCATAGTGACAGTATTGGGCAGCGCCACTCATCCTGTGAGTGGACACACCGCCATAGTGACAGTATTGGGCAGCGCCACTCATCCTGTGAGTGGACACACCGCCATAGTGACAGTATTGGGCAGCGCCACTCATCTTGTGAGTGGACACACCGCCATAGTGACAGTATTGGGCAGCGCCACTCATCCTGTGAGTGGACACACCGCCATAGTGACAGTATTGGGCAGCGCCACTCATCCTGTGAGTGGACACACCGCCATAGTGACAGTATTGGGCAGCGCCACTTATCCTGTGAGTGGACACACCGCCATAGTGACAGTATTGGGCAGCGCCACTCATCCTGTGAGTGGACACACCGCCATAGTGACAGTATTGGGCAGCGCCACTCATCCTGTGAGTGGACACACCGCCATAGTGACAGTATTGGGCAGCGCCACTCATCCTGTGAGTGGACACACCGCCATAGTGACAGTATTGGGCAGCGCCACTCATCTTGTGAGTGGACACACCGCCATAGTGACAGTATTGGGCAGCGCCACTCATCCTGTGAGTGGACACACCGCCATAGTGACAGTATTGGGCAGCGCCACTCATCCTGTGAGTGGACACACCGCCATAGTGACAGTATTGGGCAGCGCCACTCATCTTGTGAGTGGACACACCGCCATAGTGACAGTATTGGGCAGCGCCACTCATCTTGTGAGTGGACACACCGCCATAGTGACAGTATTGGGCAGCGCCACTCATCTTGTGAGTGGACACACCGCCATAGTGATAGTATTGGGCAGCGCCACTCATCTTGTGAGTGGACACACCGCCATAGTGACAGTATTGGGCAGCGCCACTCATCCTGTGAGTGGACACACCGCCATAGTGACAGTATTGGGCAGCGCCACTCATCCTGTGAGTGGACACACCGCCATAGTGACAGTATTGGGCAGCGCCACTCATCTTGTGAGTGGACACACCGCCATAGTGACAGTATTGGGCAGCGCCACTCATCTTGTGAGTGGACACACCGCCATAGTGACAGTATTGGGCAGCGCCACTCATCTTGTGAGTGGACACACCGCCATAGTGACAGTATTGGGCAGCGCCACTCATCTTGTGAGTGGACACACCGCCATAGTGACAGTATTGGGCAGCACCACTCATCTTGTGAGTGGACACACCGCCATAGCAGCATGTACAACACTCTCCAATGTTCTCCGCCTAACATAAACACTCAAATGCTAAAACTTGAATAATGGTCAACACCACAGCAGAGGAAGACACCCTTAGTCTCCTCCTCTACCAACACCAACACAAGACAAAACAATAGAGGAATAACAACAAAACAATAGAGGGACGCCCCGTCTTCTGGAGGTACGACACGAGGGTCGTGCGAGAGAGAGACAAGGACTGACGAGGACTCTTACCTCCAACAGGTCAGATGATTTATTCATGCTGGACTCTGCAGCATTACAACACCCGCATGTAATATAACCACTGGCTGCGGCTGTCTGCCTTCTACGGGATCACCATAGCCCGTGCTACTAGAAACTTTTTGTTCCCAATAGCTGAATCTATAACAACAAGGGAAGGGAACTATGAAAGAGAAAGCACCAAGCCATTGCGACTATATAGCACTGGGAAGGGGTCAGGATAAGGATTGGGGATGAGACCGGGGGTGGGGCAAGGAATGGTGCCCAACCACTTAGGCGGTCGGAGATTGAACGCCGACCTGCATGAAGCGAGACCGTTGCTCTACCGTTCAGCCCAAGTGGTGCTGTCCGCCAGTGCGTTATCTACCTATAACACGCCTTCAATTGTTAATAATTGAAGAATAAAATAATAAATAAAATAATTAAAAAATAAAATTGTTAATAATTCAAAACATTAATTCCAGTGACGCTTCCCCAAAACTTAACTGAGCGTCAGAATTTCAATGGAAAATATCTGAGTTTTTGGTGAGAATACCGAGCAATTATCATCTGATGGAGGTCTGGATAAGTCTCTTTCTGCATTCCCAGAAAGAGCCCTGGATTTTCTAGAGTGGTTCTGCTGAATCACCACTTGCTAGAAACAACAGCTTTGTCAGACAGTTCGAAAATGTGTTGGTCTTAAATTTACCAGTTGAGGTTGTTAAGACAAGGATCAACTCGAGAGTATTTTCAGAGTCAATGTCAGTACCACGAGGCTTAATACTAGAGAAGAGGCTGGCAGGCACGGCCAGCACGCTGATAGTGGGTGGAGGTGGAGAGTGGAGGTGGAGGGTGGAGGTGGAGAGTGGAGGTGGAGAGTGGAGGTGGAGAGTGGAAGGTGGAGAGTGGAGGTGGAGAGTGGAAGGTGGAGAGTGGAAGGTGGAGAGTGGAGGTGGAGAGTGGAGAGTGGAAGTGGAGAGTGGAAGGTGGAGAGTGGAGGTGGAGAGTGGAGGTGGAGAGTGGAGGTGGAGAGTGGAAGGTGGAGAGTGGAGAGTGGAGGTGGAGAGTGGAGGTGGAGAGTGGAAGGTGGAGAGTGGAGGTGGAGAGTGGAGGTGGAGAGTGGAGGTGGAGAGTGGAGGTGGAGAGTGGAAGGTGGAGAGTGGAAGGTGGAGAGTGGAGGTGGAGAGTGGAGGTGGAGAGTGGAGGTGGAGAGTGGAAGGTGGAGAGTGGAGGTGGAGAGTGGAGGTGGAGAGTGGAGGTGGAGAGTGGAGAGTGGAGGTGGAGAGTGGAAGGTGGAGAGTGGAGGTGGAGAGTGGAGAGTGGAGGTGGAGAGTGGAAGGTGGAGGTGGAGAATGAAGGAATGAGGGATGGTGCCACCAGAGGGATGGTGCCACCAGAGGGATGGTGCCACCAGAGGGATGGTGCCACCAGAGGGATGGTGCCACCAACAGGGACAACGAGGTCGGGCCACACAGGAACAAACTGCCCTGATCAATATACTGCCCCCCCCCCCCCCGGAGGACTCCTTATAACCCCTCCCCCCCTGGCACTCCACCACACAACACCCCCGACACTCACCCCACCACACAACACCCCCGACACTCACCCCACACACAATGTTTTACCCACCTACGGCCCAAGAGCCTCGATTTACTAGATCAAAACTCAGCCCCACAGTACATAATTCCCAGATGAAATACTGACCAAAAATCCTTCCCCCAATAATTGAAAAAATTTAGTATGTATGTGTATATATGTATAGTTGTGTATATGCATATGTATATAGGTATATATATATATATATATATATGTGTGTATGTATGAATAACTCAATAAATAATAATAATAAGATAAAGAGCATTAAACAGAACAACATGTGTGGAAGCATCGGAGTGTGTACATATGAATGCCACACAGTATTAATCTATAGACATCCATATATGGTGAAACACATGTGAAGAACCTCTCACACACTCACAGCTCCCTGACAAGAAGGAGCCAGCTTAGCTTAGCTGCCAACGCCCACACATCGTGTCAGCAAGGCGGACAGCCCGCCTGCTTTCATACCTCTCACTGTATTTCCCACTTCTAAACTTTCCTTCACCTATACCTCTCCCTCCTCTTAACTTAAAAAACTCAAGCCGACGACCAGAAGCTGAGGAATAGAGGGAAGAAGGGAAAGGGTAGGGAGAGTGGAAGAATAGGGGGATGAGGAAGGATAGGGGGATGAGGAAGGATAGGGGTGAGGTAGGATAGGGGTGAGGTAGGATAAAGGTGAGGAAGGATGGGAGGGGGGAGATACAGCGCCAGTGACACGAACGGACACAACTTGTAAACAAGGCGGGAATGACTGTACAGCCTGTATATAGAGTTCAAGCTCTACAGGCTCTCACAGTAGTAGAGCCCGTAGAGTCCAGGGCAGCAACCACTCCACTAACTCGTGGTATGATAATAGTACTTGACATGAAAATACAGATCAGATTACAGTACTTGCTTATTAGAGGCTATTAGTCAAAATTCTCCACAAGTCAGTACAAAGCTCGTTTTCGAATTTTCAAACCCGCATATATCGTTTGATTAGCATGTATTAGGTTAGTCTCCATTAGGGCAGGGTAGGGCAGGGCAGGGCAGGGCAGGGCAGAGCAGGCTAAGTTTGGGTTGGGTTAGGTTAGGTTAATTTCACTGAGCGAGCAATTTTACGAGCCGTGTGGTTCATTAGGCTTGGCGCCCAAGGAACACTCATACTGATTTATATTTATAACGACTCGCTCTTGCCAGTGGGCGTGATATCCAAGAGTAACGCAATTTAACACTGAATCAACGTTGATATCGGTGATTCAGTGTTGAATTAGCGTAACTCTTGGATATATTTTGCGCAGGACCCCATTCTTGTTGCGTCAAGAATTAGCGCAGGACGGACAGTCACGTCCTCACTTGAATTTCAATTCAGGGGTGCAGGATGGGTTAATTTTCTGCCGCTTTATTGTGGCTAATAACCGCTCTGCGTCAAGCAACCAGGCAGCACTATTAACCCCACAATGGATTACAAACATCAGTACCAAATAAAAGTACAGTTAGATTTACAGGAAATAGGAACGCGCTTGTGAAGTTACAGCGCCCTGGTCCACCATAGAGCACTCTCTCCCCCACGACCACCATAGAGCACTCTCTCCCCCACACTCACCATAGAGCACTTTCCCCCACGCCCGCCACACGACTCACCAGCCATTAAATAGAGCCATGAAGTACGATACCCGCCATGCTTTGTGATATACCAGTATTACCAAGAGAATACACAACCCCTCGTGGACCCTCCGGGTCGCGCGGTGGCAACGCCTCACCCTCCAACACTCGCATTCTTTCATTTAGCCTCAAAATTTCGGCACACCTCGTGAGTCTACTGTTCGTGCTTCTTTTTTCCCTTCACGCTCTTCTTGCTTCTTCCTTCCCTCCCCACTGTTTTTGCTTCTTCCTTCCCTCCCTTCTTTTCTTTCTTTCTCCTCCTCTCACCTTTTCTATCTCTTTGTTCGCTCCTCCTTTCTCTTTATCTTCTTGCTCGCGCGTTCGTTCGTTGGCTTGCTTGCTTGCTTGCTTATCTGCTTGTTCGTTTGTTCACTAGCTCGCTCATTCTCTCTTGCTTTGCAGACACAATGTAATCACCTTCCATAAATGGGGTTCGTCAAGGCTACTCTCGCCAAATGTATTTACAGTGGTCATTTAAATACTATCCTAAGGAAAAGAGGCGGGTGCTCAGGGGGGCAATACGTGCACATTCATCCTGCCTGGGCTGAGGAAAGTTGTTGGGTGACGTCTCTGCCTCCAGCATTCTCTTGAACCGGTGACAACAACTGCAAAGTTATTAGATTCTAAATCACATTTCTTGAGTGGAGAATATGACCTGTAGAGGATAGCGATAGGTCTTGTATTATCGCAGCCTCCCTGGCGATTAACTGGTCAATGAGGTTGTTAAGGTCTTCGGGGTCTTCGGTTTTCAAGGTCTACAATGAGGTCTTCGTAGCCCAAGGACCCAGACCGATCCGGAAACTTGTCGAGATCTCTCGAATGCTTGTATTGTTGTTCCAGCGTTGTTTATTAGCACGAAGTTCAAGAGTGGTGCGGCCTCTGCTGTGTACACTGCGTTCTCTTAATTGTGTTTACAGCGAGCGCCCGGATATTTCATGGTGGTGGCGGTCGGTGGAGACGCCGGTGGAGGAGGAGGCAGTGCCCCCCAGTCATGACCACCACCACCACCAGGTTGGGTCAGTTTTTACCACTAGGGTAGCCTGGAGTTTGGAGGCCCAAATGGTGGTACTGGGGATGGGCGGGGAGACGGCGGGCCGGATCAGGTACCGTTGTGCGCCGATGCTGCCACACCTGACCTCACAACTCCCCTGCTCACAACCTCTTTATGCCCCAACCCGCTAAACTCCACTCAAACACACGCGGTAACACTTATGCGCGGAATAAATTAAGTTGATTCCTAAACTTTTTCCTTGCGGTCGGGGGGGGGGGGGTAGGGAGGGGATATTTACATTGTGTAAGCAAAGCGTATTGGCGCTGTGCCAGTTGCTGCCTTGATGAACGGATATTATACTGGGCGTGCTATTCCGGAGGCAGCCGGGGCGAGGGAGGCCTGAGAGGCACTAGTCAGGGATAAGGCGTGGTCACTGTGGAGCAGGAGGGTGCACTGATTGATGATTGATTGATGAAGAGTAAGCCACCCAAAAAGGTGGCACGGGCATGACTAGCCCGTAAGTGGTGGCCCTTTTGAGCCATTACCAGTGTCAATAGATGATACTGGAGATCTGTGGAGGTGCGACTGCACCCTGCGTGACGGGAGACGTCTCCCGTCGCCTGCACTGGGACACAACAATCAGGTATAAGGCGCGGTCACACACACTGTGAACAGTTCTAATTATACCACACCATAGACTCCAGGAGGCAGCAAAGCACCCTCCCCCACACCCACAACCAAGACATGTGCACTAACAGCACATTATAAGAACCATCGAGTGCCAGGAGACGGGCTCACCATAGCCTGTGCTACCTGGAACTTTTTGTTCCCGGTAGCTGAATCTTAAACAACAACAACAAGCCAGGAGACACGACATGCAGGTGCGTCACCTACATAACCCCTCACCAACAACACTGGTTCAGAGCTGGACCTTCCACATCAACAACCACTGGACCATTGTTAATTGCTACGAAATATATACACAGTAGGCTCAGGAATCTGTACATCAGTTGATTGACGGTTGAGAGGCGGGACCAAAGAGCCAGAGCTCAACCCCCGCAAGCACAATTAGGTGAGTACAACGCTGATCTTATATATATATATATATATATATATATATATATATATATATATATATATATATATATATATATATATATATATATATATATATATATATATATATATATATATATATATATATGTATACAGATTTTGCGAAACCTTTCGACAAATGGTGTAGTGAAATATAACTCGCAGGAAAGGCATTAATGCCAATATAGGAAGACGGATCTTTGACGTCCTAATAAACCAAATCCACAAAATTAAATGTGGATTCTCCACTGAGAATTCTTTTACCTTTTTGCAAGGTAAACAGCCTGGGAGTAATCACGTCATGACTTTTTACAGAGATGCCAGCGCAATGATAAGCGTTCTTTAAGACGTAGTCTCTAAGAGGTAACGTTGTTACACTCAAGGTTAAAAGAAGTTGCTGACTGGAGAAAGTACGAAGAACATTTACTGCTAAAATCCCCCCCATTAAAACACCCTAAATTGTTGGGAACACGCGAATTGTACTCCCTTGGGCGCGGGGGAAGGGAAAGGAACTATCAGGGGAAAGCGCCAAGCCATTACGACTATACAGCGCTGGGGTCAGGATAAGGATTTGGGATGAGACGGGGGGGGGGGGGAAGGGAGGAATGGTGCCCAACCACTTGGACGGTCAGGGATTGAACGCCGATGTGCATGAAGAGAGACCGTCGCTCTACCGTCCAACCCAAGTGGTTGGGTGGAGACATTATTATTAACATCTTTATTGACAGAATTAATTACAATTTTGCCTAATCTGAGGATTTTGATAGTCTTATTAAAGTGAGGATAATGCTGGTATTCACTGTCACGCAGGACAGAGGGTCATACATAAGACAATAGGTCTAAACTGTAGGCTGAAGCACATATATATATCATGGTTACAATCAATGTTTTAATGTATGGATATGTGAAAATGGGTGGAGACAAACACATCTTGAGGTTATCTTGAGATGATTTCGGGGCTTTAGTGTCCCCGCGGCCCGGTCCTCGACCAGGCCTCCACCCCCAGGAAGCAGCCCGTGACAGCTGACTAACTCCCAGGTACCTATTTACTGCTAGGTAACAGGGGCATTCAGGGTGAAAGAAACTTTGCCCATTTGTTTCTGCCTCGTGCGGGAATCGAACCTGCGCCACAGAATTACGAGTCCTGCGCGCTATCCACCAGGCTACGAGGCCCACAAACATAATTCGCACCAGGAAAATATTTGAGGAAATGATTCCAAATCTCTCACACAGAATGTGAAAAAACCGGCCCCATTTCCAAGTAGGCTTGTGGTAAGTACACTTTTATCAGAATTTTATAACACTAAAGGCCTAAGGCACTAACCCTCAACATTACCCCTCAAAATATAGACTTAAGATATATTTCTAACTGAACTCTTATGTTTAACAGATAACTTGACGAGTACTACTCAGAGGTACCTGATCAATCAGGCTGTTTCTTACGTCGGGCTGGAAGCATCGGTGAACGACTGTTCAGTTGATGAGACCGTCAACCAGGTGATCGGGCAGTAGCGACAACGACCCCAAGAACCACCTCAAGGTACAGCCACAGACCGTGGAGGTAAGTCGTGGACGAATCGACTTGGGAACCATTGGTAGTGGAAAGGGTTACAGAGGCCCATTATGTGCCTCTGTAACCCTTTCCACTACCGCCCACAAGATGGGTATGGGGTGCATAATAAATGAACTAAACTAATGGAACCATTGACTAAGGAGTTAACAAAGTGACTTCTTTGGAACTACAAGTCAGCTAAGAGACAGACGTTTGAACTTGAGACGCTATTACACCTTAAGTAGGAAATGGGACCTGCAGACCAAGACTCTTGTACAAGATGTGGTCACAGTAGTGAGTGAGTTTCCTAGAAGGCCTTACCCGCCAAACACACACCGAAACTACGACGTTGGTACAACGTTCGAACAAGTTTTAACACCTCCTAACCAGTTATAACAACCAATATAGCAAGTTGTAACAACGTTCTAATACGTCATAAACACGATAAGCCAAGATGTAACAACTTTATTACAAGTTGTAACAAGCGGAAAATAGAGACAGTTTCGGTTTGTGTTTCCAGGGTAGTGACCTGGCAACGAGGCCAAGGTGACCCCTTGTCAGCAGATGCCTTGGTAATGACAAGCCTGTCAGTCAGCCCGCAGACCTGGGATGGCGGCGGACGTGCCAAGGTATCCCCAGTCTTGGCCCCGGGCGATGGTACTCTTTCCTGGCTCTTGCTTTTTTTAGATTTAGTTATTCAGAACAAAGCGTTCATGTAGCACGGGTAAACGCACCGTTCTTGTGCCTGGTAATTCCACTACGGGATCACCATAGCCTGCGCTGCTTGCCCCGCTCCTGTGCCAGGTAAGTTACGGGCTCACCATAGCCCGTGCTACTTGGAACTTGTTCAGAGTAGCTGAATCTATAACAACAACAACATGTAGGACGAGCTCACCAGCTCGTAACGTGTAGCACGGGCTATAGTGAGCCCGTAACTGAGTTCAGTTATTCCCCATAACTTTGTTACTGTGATGTTTGGGTCAAAGTTTTATAATGGAGGTGGAGTTCCCCCCTCCCTCTCCTCCCCCCCCGTTTCTTTTCCACCTCTGGGGTATCTTGAGATGAGAAAATGATTTTCGGGGTTTAGCGTCCCAGCGGCCCGGTCCTGGACCAGGCCTCCTTTTTGTTACACACCTCCAGGAAGCAGCCCGTAGCAGCCCAGGTACCTATTTACTGCTAGGCAACAGGGTGAAAGAAACTCTGAATCACGTCTACTCAGCTGTCAGGCCCCTAATGTGGGTTATCTTCTTGAGGTTATCTTGAGATGATTTCGGGGCTTTAGTGTCCCCGCGGCCCGGTCCTCGACCAGGCCTCCACCCCCAGGAAGCAGCCCGTGACAGCTGACTAACACCCAGGTACCTATTTACTGCTAGGTAACAGGGGCATTCAGGGTGAAAGAAACTTTGCCCATTTGTTTCTGCCTCGTGCGGGAATCGAACCCGCGCCACAGAATCACGAGTCCTGCGCGCTATCCACCAGGCTACGAGGCCCACCTGTGGCCTCGTAGGTGGCGGAGGTTACCCATTATCTTTGTGGCGGATGTAGGTGCACAGTGTTCACTAGTGTGTCCCATTCTTCAACTGTTTTTCTAACCATTGACGTCGCTTTGGATTTTGCCTTTAACGCAGCTGCTGTCGTTGGATGAACGTTGAGGTCGGTGCGCAGGGCTTCAGTTGCTTCATATTCCAGTAAGTGGTGCAGTAGTGGCGCCTCTGTTTCTGTTCCACGGATATAGCACTCTTTAACTACTGGCGCCTAGCTTTTTTTTGAGATATATACAAGAGTTGTTACATTCTTGTACAGCCACTAGCACGCGTAGCGTTTCGGGCAGGTCCCCGGAATACGATCCTCGCCGCGAAGAATCGTTGTTACAACCAAATACCCATTTTACTGTTGAGTTAAACAGAGGCTACAGTTAAGGATTTGCGCCCAGTAAATCCTCCCCGGCCAGGATACGAACCCATGATAAAGCGCTCGCGCAACGCCAGGCGAGTGTCTTACCACTACACCACGGAGACTAAGCTATAGTTAATAACCTACCTCCTCTTTTATCTTCTTGCTTTCATGCTCCATCTTGCTCCAGGCGTCCACCTCACACACCACTCGGGTCCCTCAGATGCCCAGGACAGGAGGCAGACACCTAACGACACGACCCATAAATTGCCTAATCTGGGCATAGTTGGGCGTACTATCCCGCGCAGACTCAGGAATGTCCACCACCGCCACAGTAACCATGCATCCTCGAATGAACAACGCTTATCTACACGCACAGCTACCGAAAACACAACCCATTTACCTGTCGAGAATTTCGAACGTTCTTGTACTCCACAACCTAGCCTGTGGCCTGTGGCCAGGCTTCCCTGGTGTTGGCCAGGTGTGTAGGGCTTCCCTGGTGTTGGCCGGGTGTGTAGGGCTTCCCTGGTGTTGGCCAGGTGTGTAGGGCTTCCCTGGTGTTGGCCAGGTCTGTAGGGCTTCCCTGGTGTTGGCCAGTTGTGTAGGGCTTCCCTGGTGTTGGCCAGGTTTGTAGGGCTTCCCTGGTGTTGGCCAGATGTGTAGGGCTTCCCTGGTGTTGGCCAGGTCTGTCGGGCTTCCCTGGTGTTGACCAGGTGTGTAGGGCTTCCCTGGTGTTGGCCAGGTGTGTAGGGCTTCCCTGGTGTTGGCCAGGTGTGTAGGGCTTCCCTGGTGTTGGCCAGGTGTGTAGGGCTTCCCTGGTGTTGGCCAGGTGTGTAGGGCTTCCCTGGTGTTGGCCAGGTGTGTAGGGCTTCCCTGGTGTTGGCCAGGTGTGTAGGGCTTCCCTGGTGTTGGCCAGGTGTGTAGGGCTTCCCTGGTGTTGGCCAGGTGTGTAGGGCTTCCCTGGTGTTGGCCAGGTTTGTAGGGATTAAAACTCAGGTAGAGGCATGAGAATAATAGCAGAATAAGGCATGAGGAGGAGGAGGTGTCCGTCATGAGGTGGAGGCGAGGAAGGCGTGCAGGGAGTAAGAGAAGCACTCAGTACACACAGCACAGGGAGGGAAGGCGTCTGTGTGCACACGCTGGATCCTGGAACGTGCCTCCTCAAGGAACACTGACGATAAACATTTGTTGAGGGGCCGATCCCCAGGTAAACTTCACATGTTCTAAACCTATATAAGGCGCTCGTCTTCCTCTGTGACCCCTACACAACCATCGACATGCAGGCGAGGAGTCACAATAACGTGGCTAAAGTATGTTGACCAGACCACACACTAGAAGGTGAAGGGACCACGACGTTTCGGTCCGTCCTGGACCTGGTTGATACCTGCTTGATGGGGTTCTGGGAGTTCTTCTACTCCCCAAGCCCGGCCCGAGGCCAGGCTGGACTTGTGAGAGTTTGGTCCACTAGGCTGTTGCTTGGAGCGGCCCGCAGGCCCACATACCCACCACAGCCCGGTTGGTCCGGCACTCCTTGGAGGAATAAATCTAGTTTCCTCTTGAAGATTCTCAAGTCGACCATTCTTAAGTCGATTGTCAATGGTCCAGGACGGACCGAAACGTCGTTGTCCCTTCACCTTCTAGTGTGTGGTCTGGTCAACAACCATCGACTCCATTACAATAGGAACAGTATGTATCCTAACCAATACAGTGCTCTTTAAACTCCTTGTACAAGTCCGTCAGATCAGAAGGAACATAACCCAGGCGCACTAAGGACACCACACAACATGGGACACCCATATTAGGCTAACATAAATATCTCCCACTGACACTAGGAGCCGCTGCGGAGCGCAACCTCTAACAATGCGCAACAATACAAGAATGCTTAATTATTATACACGAGGTCAGCCAACATACGGTTCTTTATCACAGTAGACTACGTTCTCGGTTCACAACCATGGATACCGAGGGTTTATCCCCAAGCATGACAAGAGACGGTTAGGCACGTTTCCCCCCACTTGATATCTCTGTTTACCTAGCAATAAATGATGTACCCAGGAGTTAGGCACCTGTTGTGGGTTGCATCCTGGGGCTGGTCATGAGCAGGAGGCCACAGGGGTGGGTAAAGGGGGTGCCAGAGGGTGCCAGAGGGTGCCACATGGGGTTATGGGAACCCATAGGGTGCACCACCAGTCATTCGGCGCTACTGACCAACACTGACCGCCAAATTATGTGATTTACATGTGTCGGTTTTAAGAGTTCATATTCTCGTAAGATCCTAATGTATTTTCAAGTGAATTGCCTCAGATACGGCGTGACCCGCCACCTCCAGCAACGAGGAGGCCTGGTCGACGACCGGGCCGCGGGGACGTTAAGTCCCGGAAACACTTCAAGGTAACTTTTATCAGGTTCAGCAAACCCTCTTAGGCCTAGATTGTCGAGCAGGAGGCTGAATATCCTCAGTTCTATGACGTCGACACAGTCATCCGGCGCCGGCGAGAAACAGTGGGCAGAGTTTCTTTCACCCTGATGCCCCTGTTACCTAGCAGTAAATAGGTACCTGCGAGTTAGTCAGCGGTCACGGGCTGCTTCCTGGTGTGTGTGTGTGTGTGTGTGTGTGTGTGTGTGTGTGTGTGTGTGTGTGTGTGTGTGTGTGTGTGTGTGTGTGTGTGTGTGTGTGTGTGTGTGTGTGGCAAAAACGTAGTAAACAGTTGATTGACAGTTGAGAGGCGGACCGAAAGAGCAGAGCTCAACCCCCGCAAGCACAACTAAGGGAATACAGTGTTCTCTACCTATGCTCCGCATCCATTTTATAAATAGGTTTATCTTACACCTCCAGAGATCTCCCACTGCACTGAGTCAATATGTAAGTGTACAGATTAGAAACTTGATCACCAGGTGTGTATGTTCCATGTAAAGAGTGCAAGAGCTCTCGTCTGTAGCCAGAGTGCAACCCCGAATGCCAACTATATACCAGGAGGTGGTTCCGAGGATCCATGACCCGCCTGCAGCCCGGTCTCTGGGTTGACGGTCTGAACAATCAGGCTGTTAGAAGTCGCTACGCGCAAGGTTACATATAAATCACAGTCCGCGATTGATCAGAAACCAATTGGAGATCTTTGCCAAGATTACTCTCAACGCGGAAAGTGGTAAAATATATATATATATATATATATATTTGTGTGTAACTGTTCCAAAGATGGGGTAGTGACTAGTGCGAACTTGGAACATATACACACTAGAGCAACCTGGCGTACAAGGATACAGATACAGGTGTTGGCGCACTCTGACCAAGACGCTTGTTATCGTGAAGTAAGAAGCTGAAGGTGCTCGTCCCTTCGTGGCGGGAGGTGACCACGCTGTTGGAGACACGCACGAGTGCTCTCGCTGGAGGGGGGGGGGAGGGAGGTGTGGGGTGTGGGGGGAGGGAGGGGGAGGGGGAGGGGAGTGGAGGGGGAGGGGGAGGGGAGTGGAGGGGGGAGGGGGGGGGAAGGAGAGTTCGTTGTCAAATACTTTGTAACCAAGACGGACCCGTCCTTCCTCACCCAACCTGTCCTCCAAGCAAAGTCCATTCGGTCTATCGACTTGAGAATGGTCCAGGACGGAACGAAACGTCGTCGTCCCTTCACCTTCTAGTGTGTGGTCTGGTCATCATACTTTAGCCACGTTATTGTGACTCATCGCCTCAAAGTCTATTCCATCCACCCGCCCCACCCCCCATCTGTTTATGAATGAAAAATGGTTTACACACGATTCACAACTGATGACGTTCGAACACTTCCGGAACAAGTGCTTCGCTGACGAATTTTGTTCGGACCACAAGGCTGTAAATGCTTCACCCACGTACTACAAAATACAAATAATCGAACCTAAACATTTAACCTAACCTAACCAGGGGCTAAATATATACAATATGCTAATATAAAATAATATTAATTTATAATTGATAAAATTCCTGTTTTGAATGAACAACATTCTAAAATTGATGACTGCGACTTTGGGGTCGACTGCTGGATGGAATGGACTTTGTCCAAGGACGAATTGCTTCACCACATCACAAACATTCACAATCCTCGTTACTCAATTACAACAACCATTCATAACCATCAATACCTCGTAGAACAATTATTCACCATAACTACTCCTTCACTCTCTCTGCCGGTCAGTCAACGCTACAAGCAGTCACCATTAATGTCACCGCAGCCTGTCGCTCACCATCACAGTCATCACTCATTGAGCATCACTCACTCTCCCTCATCACCAGCACAACTCCTTCGTGGCCTCAACACGCGGCAGAGACCACGGGTGTCTTGCCGCAGGAAGTGAACGAGTGAGTTCAGAAGCCTTCAAGAAGCCAGAAGGGAAGAGGAACGGGAGATGGGACGGGTGGGATAGTGGACACACTACCCCCACTAGGTGCTAATTTGTTGCTACCTATTACAATAAATTCAACAGGCTTGTTGACCAGACCACACACTAGAAGGTGAAGGGACGACGACGTTTCGGTCCATCCTGGACCATTCTCAAGTCGATTGTGGACCATTCTCAATCACAATCGACTTGAGAATGGTCCAGGACGGACCAAAACGTCGTCGTCCCTTCACCTTCTAGTATGTGGTCTGGTCAACATACTTCAGCCACGTTATTGTGACTCATCGTCTGCTCAACAGGCTTGCCTACAAAGGTGGCGAATGATTAACATAAAAGAAAATATCTAATTAAGTGCCAACAATAGCTAAACCTAGCATCAGAAGATGAGCAGCTGGCACTCACCATGCCCCTGGCTGGCACTTATGGTGGTGGCATCCGCTACTTTACTGCCCCACAACCACACCACAACAACTCTCTCCTACATTTACATACCACTTTAAATTATAGCCTGTGAGCAGCTGTGTCTTCCACCTGACTTAACACAATACTGGCAGCAACAGCTCGGGGAAGCAGCCTCAGTCTTACCCACCATAAAGTCACACTTAAATCCCACATGTATACTTTGATTATATGTTATAATATCATATTTTTTCCACATCGTTATTGGGCCTTGTTCTCTACATGTTATAACACTTTTAAATATGATAACACGTAATACTTAATGGTTGTTCTATGTGTAGTTAGGCATAGGTTAGGTTACATTAGGTGTTTAGGTTCTGTTAGCAATTACTCGCATTTGTCAACCTGTCCTC